GGGGGGGGGGGGATGCAGTATATCTCTTCTACACACTGCTGTGGGGAGTGTGCAGTGTAGATGTACCCTCCGTCAGTTCAGCCCTACAAACCCTTCCTGCCTGGCAGGCCCCTTCCAATTCCTACCGGCCTCTCGCCAAGATGACTCGATCTGGCCCTAGTTTATATTTATGCTTGAAAGAATCATACACTTAGTCAGAGTAATTCGGGTCAAGCTCTAGGCTTCCCCAACTACTCTGGGGAATTTCTTTCTGCTACCTTGGGAAAAGCACAGGCGGCCTGTTAGTGTGGCACACAGTGAGTCCTTGCGCAGGCTGTCGTAAAGCCAGCAGCATATTGAATCATAGTGAGGAACTTGGCCTCACGTTCAGCCAGCGTCCTCAAGCTCCAGTTTGGCAGGCAGGGCTGCAACTATAAATATCCCACTTCCTCCTCATAAAGATATTATTAACCCACCCCCCCATCTCAAGAGTGTTATCAGGAGGCGCAAGATATAAAGGATCGGACCAACTTTTAAGCCTGAGCAATGAAGGACATGGTGCAGAAGGACTGTAATGAGAGAAGCTAAGCTAAGGATACCAGCAAATGGCCCAGTGAGCAAACTACTGGAGAGCTGTACTTTTATTTACTCGCTGATGGCTGAGAATAGAAGACAGCTTCCAAAAACTTACATTTTTTCAATGTCTGGTGCATTTACCCAAATAGCGTAAACAACTGCCAGGCCACAAGCATAATTCACTGCAGAACAGTGAGGAAGTAACAAACATCACAGTGACTATCCTTCCCTCTACTAGCTAAGGGCTCGATCCCACCAGGTGCTGGGTTTCCTGACTTCACTGGAAGATGAGGACCCTCACCCCACCTTAATACGGTGTCCTGAGTACTTTCTCCCACACACTGAAATAAAATGTTAATGTGGTATTGGGGGGGGGACAAATACTATTATTAAAAACCAAAGAAACAAACCACTAGAAGCCTCAGCTAAGCTTAACATGAGTATTTCACTAGGAGGGTGGTGAAGCCCTGGAATGGGTTATCTAGGGAGGTAGGGGAATCTCCATCCCTAGAGATTTTTAAGTCCCACCTTGACAAAGCCCTGGCTGGGATGATTTAGTTGGGAGTGGTCTTGCTTCTAGCAGGGGGTAAGACTTGATGACCTCCTGAGGTCTCTTCCAACCCTGTGATTCTATGTGCTAACCTACGCTTACAAAACTTGTGGCATCTTGTTGCTTCAGTTTTTGTGAGAGCAATCACCAGAGCGGGACGGACTAAAACAACAGAAGCAGTTTCTCTTAGCAAGTTAGAACTTGAGTCAAGTTTTGACCTTTCTTGCATCCTTTGCAACCCCACTAAAATCAGAGAAACACAACATATAAATCAGGACAGAGTTTAGCTGAAAGAGAACATTCGGCAGATGAATTTTAGGTGCATTGTCTCACTGTAATTCGGTTTGTTTTAATATGGTTATTTTTCTACATTATTCACTCACATTTAGGGTTTGATTTTTCCACTGCCCTGCCCCTTCTGTTATTGTTGCATCTGTGTGAGAGGAAATTTCTCATCTGGTAGTGTTTAAAATGCACTTTGCATATACAAATGATTACTGAAGATGCAAGGCAGGGGAGAAGCAAACCATTAATCTCTTCTTGCCAATTACTCTTAAAATTAAAATATAAAAACTCCCGTAGCAGTCACATGTTATTGAAGCGCGGTTGCTTAGATTGGTGTAGTAGGAATATTACCCTTTATAAATCAAACCACCACAAATATTTTTAAATAGATCCTTCAAGGTTCAGATAAATGCTTGGCACTCCCAGCTGGTGTTTTGTCGTGACATGAACAGGAAACATCAAATGAAACGCACCATTTTCAGGCAGAAGACTGGTGTGATTTTGGGGAGACACCACCAATTCAGTCACCCTATCCTTCTCCCAAATGAACACAAATACTGGTCATGGACCAACAAACTGAGCCTTTTGTCATGCCGACCACTCACACTGCTATAGCCATGTATGTTTCTGGGAATACATTTGCATTTATTTCACAAAAGCATTAAACTTTTATAACCAAAGCGCTGTCCCACTTCATTCTTCCCAGCCAGTTTTGCCCTGGCACACGTAGAGTGACAGAACTATGTGGCCTAGTATACATGGTATCAATCAAGGCAAATTTTGGTACCTTGTGTCTGATCGTCAGCTAGTGTAAGCCAGCATAGGTCCTGCAAAGTCAGCAAAACTACTGATTTGCACCAACGGAACATTTCAAATACTTACACTTCATCTCTTACCTAGCGGCCGCTTTTGTTAATAAGCCCAAAAAATTGCTACCGCGGCCATACCCGTTCCCCCACACTTCTTGCCAGGATATTCATGCTCTTAGTGCGCGACTGGATTCCCGTTTGCACCAGTGGCCACAATTCTGTCTGCTGAGCTAGAACTTCAGCAACCCCCTTACCTCTTGAGATAGTTTCTCCCATACAGGATCTGCTGCAGCAAAGTGACCACAGCAAAGGCGCAGATGAAGATGAAGAACAAAGTTCTGTTTCCCAGCAAGTCCCTGCTTGAGGAGGGGTCACTGTATCCCATCCTTGAGAAAAAGCTTCCTTAAGCTTGGTTGGGTAGAATTCAGTCCATTGGAGCGTTCATGCTCCTTTCACTGGAAGGCAGCAGGGCACATTTGCTAGCTTTTCTGTGAGGAATCCAAGGACAACGTATCCCATTGTTCAGTCCTCCTGCCCTCGTCTTGCCCCTTTTGGTCAACTAAAGAACTGTGCGCAATCGCTCGTTTCCACTGTAAAGTTTCCAGGAGCATCTGATGTGGGGAACATCTAAAAATCATCTATTCATAGCGCTCTCAGGCAGAGCAGTTTGTGCTGGGTGAGAGGCAGTCTGCAGCCTCTCTCCAAAACCCACTGCTAACAATTATCTACTTCAGTCCCGTTTTGATATTCCAGATGGGAGACGCTGCAAATAAAACAGAAAAACTGCAGCCAGTGGAAAACAGAGGGCTCCCGCAACCTGCTTCGGCAGCACATAGTCATCAGCTCTTCTTTGCTTCTGCTCAGTGATTCCAGCAAAATGCACTTGGAGGGAGACGTGACTGGGGTATACTATTATCGAGCGAGTGTGTAATGATCATGAGGATTTCATTCAGCCCCCTGCAAAAAAACAGCAGCAGCAATCCAGTTAGGCAATCATCAAAAGCTGCATTTTATTTAACAAGGGGAGGGGTAGATAATGCCTTTGATACGGTAACGTTCGCATACAGCATGCAGTGCCTTCAGTCACTGCTGCTCTCTATTTGGGTTTCTATGTTTTTTCCTGGTTATTCCTCCAGAGTAAGCATAAGCAAGGTCACTGTGCATCTCTTCAAGGACAGAGCTCTCCGTTCCTGCCTGCTGATTTATTGCAGGCTTTGGGTAGCCTCACAACCGCAGATGGGAATATTGACTTTCAATGCAATCTTGAAGCACTATTCATTTAAAGAGATAAATATGCCGATTGTTCCCCTACCATGAACAGTTCTCTTGTTATAGGGTAAAATAGCAAGACCTTGTCTCCAGCCATAGGTGACTGGTGCCTGCAGGGGGAGAGGGAGCAGGGAGGGCCATGAGGGGGCACCCCATTTAGCACTTAATTTTGGCAGGGGCACAGCATGGGGGAGGGGGTGCACCTCCCAAGTGCTACCAGGAGTCACTTACGTCTACAGCCTTTAGAATGGATATTGAGCATTCTAGTTGCTGGCAGGGGAGTGATCCTGCTTTCATCAGAGTCAATGGGAATTTTGTCACTGTTTTCAGAGGAAGCAGGAACAGATCCTGAAAACATTGACCTATCAAAGCTTTATCCACAAATACAATAGCTCAGTTGGGAGGTCATGTTACCTTCATAACACATGGGGGAGAGGGGGAGAGAATCTTCGGGAAAAAATTGCGAAGTCCTTTGTAAAACAAGAATTTAATATGAATAAACCTGCAAACCATTAAATCAATGTCCAGCGTGCCTTTATTCCAGCTGTTCAAACCAACATGCCCAATCCTGGATGGCGTCAGAGCTGGCACTGTGCCGGGGTGGGGGTAAACATAGCACCAGGAGCAAGCAGCAGTACAGGTAGCATAAAGCTATCTGCCTCAGGGCTATTCCTTGGGATTATACAGAGCCATTTTAGGGCAAGGCACATAGATTCATACAATTAGGTTGTTCCTCCACCCCAGTCAATGTTCCCATGTGGGATGTTAGTGAAAGACATAGTTGTTACAATCTAGGTCTTGTCTGAAGTGCCTTTCTATACTGACAAGTAGTTTTCTAGAAATGGGACAGCAGGGTCATGTTCAATCTCTCTCATTGACTCTACCAAAACACGATCCATTTATGAAACAGAAAAACACCATCTTGTTAACGGTCAGCCTAGCAAATTCAGCTGAAAGTCCAGATCTGCTCTTAGAACCATAAACAATTAGGTTTAGAAGGGACACTGAAGGTCATCTGGTCCAACCCCCTACTCAAAGCAGGACCAACCCCAACTAAATCATCCCAGCCAGGACTTTGACAAGCCTGGCCTTAAAAACCACTAGGGATGGAGATTCCACCACTTCCCTAGGAAACTCATTCCAGTGCTTCACCAACCTTCAAGGGAAATAGTTTTTCCTAATATCCAACCTAGACCTCCCCCACTGTAACTTGAGACCAATGCTCCTCGTTCTGCCATCTGTCACCTCTGAGAATAGCTTCTCTCCATCCTCTTTGGAATCTCCCTTCTGGTCATTGAAGGCTGGTATCAAATCCCCCCTCGCTCTTCTCTTCTGCAGACTAATTAAGCCCAAATCCCTCAGCCTGTCCTCATAAGTCATGTGCTCCAGCCCCCTAATCATTTTCATTGCCCTCCGCTGGACCCTCTCCAATTGGTCCACATCCTTTCTGTAGCGGCAGCTCACACTTCACCACCACGAAAGATTTGGCATTCAGTACACAAGGCCCAATCTCTTTAGTTTAAAATTCTTTCATGATGCACAAGGTGCCATTCAGTCCAGTACACTTTCCCACAGCTGTACTGAAATATCAGTGGGAGGAAACAAAGTCAAAACTTCATTTAGTGAATGCAGTAATTATTAGGGTGTAAACTCTCTGTGCCAAGAACCAACTTTATCCTGAATTGATACAACATCAACCACCATTAGGTCCAGACTAGTGTTCCCTCTAAGCTGCTCATCAGCACAGCTTCACAAGCGATTAATCAGCCCTGCCCAGTCAGTCAGCTCTGTACATGTCTAATTAATCACCCAAGAAGCTGTGCTGCCAAGCAGCTTAGCGGGAACACTGGTCCAGACCATGGCATCTAAGCACGGTCACAATCCAAATAAATAGATTAATACAGTGAAAGCTTTCTTATCCAACATGCATGGGGAATAAGGGTTTCCGGTGAATTGAATATGCCGGATAACAAAGCTTATTGCTCTGTCCTCACCCTTTACTGGCAGATCCAGCTCCTGGAAGTGAAAGGCATGATGAGGAGGGAGGAGGCCCCTGATGATGATGTCAGCAAGCAGATCCAGCTGTCAGAAGCCCTGCAACAGCTGGGGAGACAGGCAGGAGTCAGGAGCAGGTGTGGATGGGAGCAATGCTGGTTCAAGTTTTCTGGTTAATGGAGTTTGCTGGCTAACAATGCTTTCACGGCAATATTAATAAACTAAGATTTTATTACAAATTCACATGGGAGTGACTATTGTCCTCTGTTCATTTTCACCCTTTAAAGCAAATTAGCCACTTACTTTGGTCAGAAAAATTAATAAGAATGTATTCGTTCATATCACACTGAGAGGAATGGACACACTGACGGCTGCATAATGAAACCCAGCCACAGTGGGATTCCCGTCTGCCATAGTTTGCACTCATGGAACTGAATATGGTCCTTCTAAAGATGTAAGCCCTTAAGTGCATATAATATGACAGTTGTTTTATACCAAGATCCCCTGTGAGTTCCTTCACGTCTAGCTGGGATCTAGCTAGCATGCTGTCCCTGTTCAGCAGTAATGGAAGGGAACAGCCTGAGTTCCAGGCTCAGAGACCATATGATAGGATATGGACAGATCTGCCTATGAAACTTAAAAGAAAGACTCTGAAAGGCATGAAAGAGGGGGGAGGTGCTCATCTCCGCTTTACTTTGACGTGGAGTTGGGTGTCAAATGGTTCTTTTGTACCTTTGAAATTTTTGACTGAGAATCCTGGTTCTCTTTGGAGCAAATGCTGCTCTGTTACACTTAAATATGACTATTGACTACACCACATGTACCAGAGCAGAATTTGGACACAGATGTATTTTAAGGGCTAATGTATCTCAACACCAACCAGTGAGGTGATACCCTGTGATCCTACAGATCTTACAGTGAGTAGCATTAGAATAAAAATCACCCTATAACATATTGCACTGTCCCAAACTGGTTAGCTGCAACAACTCTCTCCCCTTAGTGTCAACATGTGCACCACCATCCTGAGAAGTTTGGATACCGGTGTTTTGCCCCCTTCATTTGCTGAATCAGAGTTAACTAGAAAATGTGACACTTGAGGACAACGTGTGAATTTTTTACATTCCCAGGAGAATTATGTCCCTGAAGCAGTGACCAGAGTATGAGGAAATATCTAAAAAAGTGAGATGTTTCCTGTTACAAGTATAATCTTGCGCTAATAGGCTGTGTCTACATAGGCATGATTTTGCCAAAAGCACCTGCTTTTGCACAAAAACATGCTGCCTATCTACACTGGCGGGGAGTTCTTGCACAAGAACAGTGATGTTCTAATGTGTGAAATCAGTGCTTCTTGCGCAAGAACTATGATGCTCCCGCTCAGGGATAAGCACTCTTGCGCAACTGTTCTTGCGCAAGAGGCCAGTGTAGACAGGCAACATGAATTTCTTGCGCAAGAAAGCCCGATGGCTAAAATGGCCATCAGAGCTTTCTTGCGCAAGAGAGCGTCTACACTGGCACGGATGCTTTTGCGCAAAAGCACATGCCAGTGTAGATGCTCTCTTGCGCAAATACTTGAACGCAAAAACTCTGCGTTAAAAGTATTTGCGCAAAATCTTGCCAATGTAGATGTAGCCATACTGTCCCCAGTAATATGTATAAAGGAAATTTATACTCATTGTCTTCAAACCAGCACTACAATGTATCAGAGAAAACAGAAGAAGAAAGGTCATAGTAGGTGAGATCAAAGATCATCTAGCCTAGTACCCTGTCTTCCCACCATGGCTAATGCCAGGTGCCGCAAGGGAATGAACAGAATAGAAAATTATCATCACCTGTTGCCCATTCCCAGGTTCTGGCAAAACAGAGGCTAGAGACACTATCCCTGAAGAAACACCTCTCTGCAAGAACCAAGAAATACAAAATCAATTATCACATTTTCAAATGCGCCTGCAATATTTGCTGGAGCATCCACGTAGGTGCAAAAAAACCCCAACACACGTGTATGGCACGATTGCCCATTAGCACTCTTTGTTTCAGAGAGGCCCCTTGAAAATCTGGCTTTTCATATGTGATCATCTTTCTAATCTTCCTACTCCTGGGATGAGTCAAATTAAACAGATTTTTTTTAATTATTTTAAACTAGATGGGAGCAAGCATCTGACACAGAAATTGGCTATCAGGGATGCAAGATGGGGTCACAGTACTTTGCATCATGTATATCACTGGAAATAAAAGCCATGTTGCATGCAACAGTGTTTTTGGAGGGCTATAGTGTGATCTAGACTATGCCACATTAGCTAGGCATGGGATAGTCTAGTTAATGTTTCCCAGCCAAAAAACAGGCATGCAGGAAACCTCTCTCACGACACGGATATGGATAAACACATGCAACACAATACTGCAGCACAGACAGCACAATGTTGCAACGTGTAAGAGTCAGGAATATAACTATACTTTGTCAGGCAAACATTGCTCTAAAAATTCAGTCTCCTAGTGCTTTACTGACACAAATTAATAAAACCCCAAAATACCCCTATAAAATTGGTATGCATTTGATTTCCATTTTACAATACAGTAGGTGAAACTGAGACCCAGAGAGGTTGTCACTTGCCCAAGGTTGCAAAGTGAGTCAGTGGTGGAGCTTGGAAAGAGCCCAAGAGTTCGGATTCTCAATCCAGTACTCTAATATTTCTTTC